TGATGTAGCCTGGGATTTAAGTAGCTTTAAAAATGGATGTGACAAAGTCATTAGGGAGGAGAACTTCCTTCCTTCCTTCCTTCCTTCCTTCCTTCCTTCCTGCCTTCCTGCCTTCCTGCCTTCCTTCCTTCCTTCCTTCCTTCCTTCCCTCCCTCCCTCCCTCCCTCCCTCCTTCCTTCCTTCCTTCCTTCCCAGAGCTCCTCTGATCAATGAAGCTTGAGCAATGACTGAACAAGTACTCAAATTCTAAAGGAAAGTATGATAGACAGGTATTTAGCAACCAATAAGGTTTTTGTGAGGTATCCCCCTCACTCTGGTAAAAGGGACCTATATGACTTCTGTCATCCCCTTACCTTTTACCTCAGAAGCCCAAACCTTTCCTGACAGATATAAAAGAACGGCACCGATAGCGTGATTTTAAATAAAAGAAGTAAAATTTATTCTTTATAAAAGGGTAGGGAAATGGGAAAATGGTTTTCACAGGTTTTATATGATCTAAACAGTTGGCAACCAGCCAGTTCCCAATATGAACACTATTAACACTGTTGCAGGCTTCTTAAAAGTCAGGCAGGAATAATAAGAACACTAAACCCTCTAAGATATTTCTTTGCAATAGGCAGGCAGCTGTAATGTTACCCATCATATGCAATGTATAACTCAAGGCTCCCCAGTTGTGCTGGAGGTCTGCCTGTCCTGAGGACTTCCCCCTGGATAATAGACCTACAGTCCTTCCCTGTGTGTGGGGGGGTGTTTCTCTTTTAAACAGAGGTCTGTTTTGGACTCTGGCAAAACCTCTCCACAGAGTCTTATCTGTCCCTCTGCTCTGTGACTCCCCGTCACTGTGCCACAGACTGAGAGTTTTCCCTCAGAAGGAAGCCACCCAAAAGCCCCTTCTCAATCACTCTCTCTCCGAACAGAGCCCTTCCAACCGTCTCCCTCTCCCTCTCCAACTGCCCCCCAACTGACTCCTCTTTTCCCCTCCGAGCCCCCTCCTGGAGGCATTTTGTTGTCATGGAAGCGGCTCACCAATCAGAGAGAGCCTCTCCCACTGCCCACACTCAGACCGGTTTTCACCTAGTTCGTCACAGTTATATTTGGATCAGTGTCTAGACGTTTTATCAATAGCTGTTAGCCACAATGGCTAAAGACAACATCCACACTTGGTGCGCCAGTCGCTGAAGGACAACAGCAGAGGAAGGGCAACGGTGTCCTCCTCGTAGGCTTCCTGAGGCATCTGGTAGACCAAGATGCTAGACTGGTCCGATCCTCCAGAGCTGGTCACAGATTATCCGGTAGCAGTAGGGAGGGCTCATTGTGTGGATCCGAGAATCCTCTGGGAGAGCCACTCGGGGCTACAGTAGATCTTTCTATCCCAGGTTTGCACAAAAATATCAAAAGTTGGAGAAGGAAACTCGGGGGGGGGGGCTTAAAAAAAGAGCCAGTGATGTCTGCACAAGGTAGGAAAAAACCCAGCCAACATCTTGGGTTGCCTAGAAACCCAAGATGCCAAGCAAAGGGAAGTAGGGATCAGCTCTGGGAAGTCAACGATGGGGAACAGAAAAAGAAGATGAGGAGGAGCTTGTGGGATTTCCCCTCCCAACAAGACCTTGCAAATCCTCCTCTTGTGAATTCTAAAAGTTCAGAGCAGTTTACCAAGGAGTGAATTCTGTTTCTGTTCTTCTGTTTCCCCCCTCCCCCACACACATACTCCAGCCATCTCCCCCTGCAAGGTGGTGTCGTTGCTTCTGCTGTAAGGTGAAAAGGGAGGAAGCACACAGGATCGCTGTTGGGCCAAGAGAATTAAAACTGCACCAGCAATTGCTGTCCTTTCCCCCAAGGAGCATAACTGTGTGGCTCATGCCCAGGGCTTATGCAGGCCTGGAAGGGAGAGGACCATCAGTGTCCTTGCTGTGTGGCATTCCTTAGGCCACCGTGACTTCCCCCAAAGCCCTTGTGTGAAACAAAAATTTCTGGGAAACATTAAGACGCTTGTCTCACGGTAGCCAAGCACAGAATGCAGGATCAGACTCCCTGAGTTAGCTGTTGCTTCTTCAGACAGTAAACTGGCACTGATCTGATCATGTTAAGGTAAAAGGTAAAGGTTCCCTTGCTCGAAAGCCAGTCGAATCCGACTCTAGGGTTGCGGTGCTCATCTCCGTTTCAAAGCCAAAGAGCCAGCGCTGTCCGAAGAGGTTCCCGTGGTCATGTGGCCAGCATGACTAAACACCAAGGTGCACGGAACGCTGTTACCTTCCCACCGAAGTGGTACCTATTTATCTACTTGCAATTTCTTGCTTTCGAACTGCTAGGTTGGCAGGAGCTGGAACTAGAGACGGGAGCTCACTCCGTCATGCGGCCACACTCGGGTCTCGAACTGCTGAACTACCAACCTTCCACAGCCTGCAGTTCAGTGTCTTAACCACTTGAGCCACCGCAGCTCCGATCTTGTTAAAGCTTTAGGCAAACTTAGTGGTACAGTGTATTCCCTTCCAGAATTTCTTTGGTTTGCCTCTAATTCAGAACTTGTATAATAAAATACACTTTTTCTTTTCCCTGTCTACCGTAGGTCCACGACCGGAATGCTCACTGGAGAAGTTTCTTAATAGATCTTACAATCAAAAAGGATCATAATTGGTCGAAAATAGAGACTTTGTCTAATATCTGTATGGGAGAGGACTCTACATCAATTTGGTCAGGTACAGAGAGTAAAGTCTACAAACCAGAAAGTGTGAGTGTCAAAAAAGGAGAACATGTGTTGTGTGACAGTAATGTAAGAGATTCTGACCATTCCCTCATGTATTTATAACTCTCAAAAGGCAAGGCTGCAACATGGGCAAAAATATATTTCTCGTGCATTCCTCACGTGAGTACATTTTACCTCTGCCCATACAGTGTGCGAATCAGTCACGCTTACAGTTCAGATCCCCAGAAGGGAGGCGTGGCCCATGGACAATTCAGTGCTCGTGGATATGAAGCATTGCTTTTGAGTTTGAGGGAAAGTTCTCTGGGGCTGATACCACTGGGTGTCTTTTGGGAGACCAGCTCATCAGGAGAACTGGTGTCAGTAGCAAAACCAAACAGGGATGGTGAGGTAAGGAGTATTGATGTGACTGTACTGCTATAAGTTTAGGTATTAACATGTGTATGGACTGTCTTCTGGGACTGCTGTCGAGACAGGGGGGTGAATGTTTAATCAGATCAGGGAGATTTTCACTCTCAAACCTGTAGGTCAGCCCTCCAGGAACCAGGGGTGGGGGTGGGGAACAGAGAAGGAAACGAGAAAAAGAAAGCTTCTGAGTGTTAGCCGAACGAATGTAGAACTATATCCCAGTGCTGCTTTTGCAATCATTCTCTTCATTAGGGATAACTGTACTTCTGTTCCATAGAGCTGTGCAAATAAACTTGAAAACTCTTTGAAAAACGGGAGCATATAACTTCCCCCTGCCAGGGGTTTGCCAGGTTATATATTTATTTGGGGTGGTACATTTGGTGAGTTTTCCTTCCCCTTTGTCTCCTGTATGTAAACACTGCCATTGTGCACTAGAGGCAAGTATTCAGTTGTGTGTGGGAAGGGCAAGTTTTATTTATTACATATTATTTATGTACTGTGTATTATCTGTTTCTTTGAAGAAGGGGCGTGGCCAGATATCGGAGGGGTGGCGCTAAATGAGCCTGCTGGCCACTGGATCTGCAACAGGGCAAAATCAGCAGTAGCTTTTTTGGGGTGTGTGTCTGTTTATATGATTACTGTTAAAGTTGGTGGATATGCCCAGTATGGAACAGGGCAGGGATCCCCAACCTTTTTGAGCTTGCAGGGACGTTTGGAATTCTGACACGGCACAGTGGGCGTGGCAAAATGGCCACCACAAAATGGCTGCCGCAGGAGGCGGAGCCAGCCACAAAAAGATTGCCACAGCTTAACTTCAGTAACACTGCGCAGATCCTTGTGCTGTGGTGGCAGCTACTGCTAAAGCAACATTTAAAAAAATTCTGCACAGCCAATCAGAAGTCTCGCTAGGCAAAAGCCCTACTTGGCCCCACCCACTTCCTAGAAACACTTAGCAGACACTGTAAAAGGTGTAGGCGGATGCCACGGACACTGTTCTCAGGATTGCAACCTTGGAGTGTTCAGGAAGGGGACCCAAACTGAAGGAAAGTACCTCCGTCTTGACCCAGGTATCTGGTGTGAAGCACACATGAAGAAAGGGTAGACTTCCTCGGGGTCTGATAAACATAGGGGAGGTAGACAGTGTTGCCTCCTTCAGCCCCATTCCATATTTCAATAAAACCAGGTCCCTCGTAAAGATCTTCTGAACACCTCCGTGTTTCACAATACAAATACACTTGAAGTCTTTGCTCAGCTAAGTGTGTCATTTTTCAAGTACCTGAGATTTATGTTATGTAATGGCAATGCCACTGTTAGACAGCAGACTTGATTACCTCTCAGTGCAATCCTAAAAAGAGTTATACCCTTCTAAGGCCATTGACTTCAATGGACTTCTTCGGGTGTAACTCTGCGTAGGATTGTCTAGTCAGTTGCTTATGCCTCCTGCTTTTAGATCATAAAGGTTATAAATTTTTCAGAATAAAAGCAGCTTATGAATGTTTTATATTAGCACACACATAAATGTCTGTATCAACTGTAAAGGTAATTGCCCTGTTTCTTAGAACAGCAAGAGGGAAAGATCTGCGTGCACACATTGAAGAACTCTTGTTCGCTGTTTCTCTGGGAGTAGCCACCTTTAGCATCTGTAGCGAGCACCCTTTTGAACATAGAAGCAGCTTGTGATGTGGCACTGGGAGCTGCTATACGAAACAAGGAAGCCCAAGCCCCATTCTGCAGACACAGTATCACCCTCTGGATCTGGACCATTTCTGTGTTAGGGCCGATTTATATGCATCACTGTGAACACTCCTTGGCATCTCAGAAATGTTTGTATATACTTTGTGTACATATTTTTAAAAAATTGTTCTGAGGGTGACAATGTCCAGTTTATATAGTTTCTAATAAATTTTATAAATTTCTGCTAAAAACAGAGCATTGTTATATTTTAAAGCACTGCTTCTCATACACCTTTTCTCTCTGCCTCGGAGAGCCCCCTAGTCAATTATTTTTACAGTCTTAGTTTTTCTGTTACCTAATAATATTTTTAATTTTGGAGTAACGTACACCTCTGTTTAGTTGGTAACATGAAATTACAAAAAAAAAAGGAGAATGAAACCTAGAAAACTCATGACTTATACATTCGTAGAAGCCACACCTGGAGCCAAATTGGATAGGCAATTAGATATCTCTGCTGCTCCCCAACTAAAAACCATTCTCTAAGCCGAGTCTCCAAAGAACGTAAACCCCATGGTCTCCAAATATATACAGCTTCTGTATATATGCATTCTTACGTGGAAAACAATTCACTCCTTTTAACAGAACAGTCCATCCGCGACCCCTGCTGTCAGCCTTCCATACAATTCGAATCCTTCCCTGGCTTCTGCAAGCAGAGTTCACACAGATTATGCAGAAGACAACAGATCTCAAACTGGCACCTTCATTCGATAGCACTGCTTTTCTCCCTGTCCTCCCCCACCAGAAAAACATCCTGCCTTAGAAATTGGTTTGCTACAGCCTGTGAAACCCTTGGGCTCATAAATCATTCCTCGCCTGACTGTATTATATAAGCCTTACCTCTCAGTTCCCTCGGTTATCAGCACTGCTCATAAATATATTCTGTTTTCATTCACTAGCCATCAAGATCTCTGTGGGATTTGCACTGCCTTCTCAAAAGTGTTGTGTTTTTGGGACCGCAGGTATAGGATTCCCTCTGCTGTGGCTTCTGCATATAAGGAGAGTTAATAAGGAAATGGTACACACCTTTTGTCTCCCAAGTAGGTAGGCTCAAGTCATAAAACATTTTAAAGAGCGTTTACGCAGTCCCGAACATCTGGCTGAGGTCCCGAGAGGCCTGGATCCAGATTTAGCTGAGAGCCCCTTCCCTCAGACTTCCTTCTATCAACAGGACTATCAGGAGGAGGGCAGGGAGCAACTGCCCCTCCTCCGTCAGGCCTGTGCCCAGCTCCATCTGATCCACCTCCTCCTTGCTGATCTTAAAGCACAGGACGGTTTAGGCGTGGAAAGGAGCCCACAGTGTTACAGTGGATGCCAACCGCTTAGCCTTCGAAGGTTAAAAGTAGCAATTTGCTAGTTTGCCTTCGAGCCCAAGTCAACCAGTATGGTGTCCCTTTCTGCTCATGCCTGGTAAAAAAAGACACACAAAGGTCAAACAAGCTGAAGTTCTAGACAGTCTTCAACAGCACCTCATAAGAACATAAGAGATGCCAATGTTGGATCAGGCCAAAGGCCCATCCAGTCCAACACTCTGTATCACACAGTGGCCAGAAATACCAGTACCCATACGTGTACTTCCTATTGACTGCATTCTGGAATTGGGAGATTTAAGGGGATCTTAGTAATGAATATTATTTAATATTCTAAATATAAATATTCTACATGTAGATTCTCTAATATTTCTTCAGTGGTTCTGTGCGCTCAAAGAATTTCACACACACGTGTCAAATTCTTACAACTGTTCTGGAAGCTAGAACAGTATTATCCATTTGTAGGGTTAATGTTGGAAGATGGTGACTTTCCTGAAGTCACCCAGTGGCTTTATACATGAGCTCAGATTTCAAGGTGGAATGGCTAGCTACAATTTGACTCTTTGATGAAGTCAGATGTGTAAATTTTATTATTCACAGAGGACAGGAGATGATACACGATGGTAGCCTACATTTTGAGGATAGTTTAGACAGGAGATACATATATATATTCCTGCCCACCGGATTGGAATGTTTGTGTCATTTTTTATATTCTAACATAACAGTGCATCAGAGTAACATACGTGTACTTCCTATTGACTGCATTCCGGAATTGGAAGATTTAAGGGGATCTTAATAATGAATATTATTTAATATTCTAAATATTCTAAATGTAGATTCTCTAATAATTCTTCAGTGGTTCTGTGCGCTCAAAGAATTTCACACACACGTGTCAAATTCTTACAACTGTTCTGGAAGCTAGAACAGTATTATCCATTTGTAGGGTTAATGTTGGAAGATGGTGACTTTCCTGAAGTCACCCAGTGGCTTTATACATGAGCTCAGTTTTCAATGGCTAGCTACGATTTGACTCTTTGATGAAGTCAGATGTGTAAATTTTATTATTCACAGAGGACAGGAGATGATACACGATGGCTCGGCAGGACTTGTGGGACTTGTCATGACATTGACAAGGGTCAGCTGTCAAGAAACTGTTTCCTGTAAGCAGTTTCTGGTTCAATTCAAAGCAGTGGTTCAGGGTGAGGCCTAGAAAAGATGGATGTTTCTTTTTCTGAAACGTAACAAGCTGCTTGTAGCTTCAAAGACTCAGATAAGGGAGATAGGAGGTACCCAAGCTGCTGGTCACACCATTAGGCCTGGTAGCCTCAAGAATCTAGGGAGGATGCATTATGTCTCAGTGCCTGAGTGAATGGGTGGGAGGGGTCTGTTCACTTGAACCCAACGCAGCTGCGGGGCATTCAGAGGCAAACTTGGTTAGTAACACATCTGATGGTCAAGTGATGTCATTTGCTATGCCTTTGGTTAACTACAATCAGGCCAACACAGGTCGTTAAGCATAAAGGAAAGCATTTCATTCTAGTTTTGCTCTTAGTCAAACACCACAGATCTGAAAAAGGGTTTCCCCCCCTGTACATTGAGAGTGAATAGAAAAGATGAATATTAGTAGCCACAACCAGGTCACATAAACAAGAGACTTTTAAAGTATTTTTTTGTAAAAATTAAGATCCTGTCTAAATAATTACAGGGCTGCGGTGGCTCAGCTCAAGTGGTTAAGACGCTGAACTGCAGACCGGAAGGTTGGTAGTTCAGCAGTCCGAGACCTGAGTGCTGCATGACGGAGTGAGCTCCCGTCTCTGGCCCCAGCTCCTGCCAACCTAGCAGTTCGAAACAAAGAAATTGCTAGTAGATAAATAAGTACCGCTTCGGTGGGAAGGTAACAGCGTTCCGTGCGCCTTGGCGTCTAGTCATGCCGGCCACATGACCATGGAAACGTCTTTGGACAGCGCTGCCTCTTTGGCTTGGAAATGGAGATGAGCTCTGCATCCCTAGAGTCGGATTTGACTGGCTTTCGAGCAAGGGAAACCTTTACCTTTACTAAATAAAGCAGGATATTGTTTTCTCACTATAGTCATGAATCCCTAATGATTTTAAGATCGTCGTTACGCAATATGTGAGGATCTCTATTTTTAAAAAATAGCTGAATGGTTTTACTATTTAAGAAAACGATATACTTCAACTTCATTCCATTAGAATTGCTAACTTCAGGGGATGCAAGAAACACACATCCTGTGCTGCCATGTTCATTTCTTTTTTTAAAAAAACCCTTCAGTTTTCAACATCTTACAATGTTTCCCTCATAGTATCTGTGTACAATAGAACGATTTCACTTACTATAACAATTATTACATTTACCAAATTTTCACAGAAAAACCTTTAAAATATATAAACATTTTAACCAAAATTAACAATATAACTTAGATCTGTATTGAGGATTCTTGGGAATTATGTTGTTTATGTTATTTTCTGCCGTATAGTTTAAAAGGGGGAAACCAAGTTGTTCCCTTATGATGGAAAGTGTCGCCAAGTCACAGCCGACATTGAGTTTTCAAGGCAGGAGACATTCAGAGGTGGTTTGCCCTTGCCTGCCTCTGCGTAGCGACCCCGGACTTCATTGGTGGCTTCCCTTTGAAAGACAGAAATCCCATCTACGGTGTGTTTCCCCAGCCCAATTTGAGAAAACACTCGGCACAATCCTGTAGAGTAGAACCAGATCTAGAACTTTATTAATAATAAAGGAGGGAAGCATGGGTTCCACAAGATTTTGGATCCCACAGCTCTCCCTGAGGTTACAATGGGAGACATAGGATTTTATACTCCATATGATGCTTACAAATAAATCATAATTATTGGTTCCATCAAAGATCAGCACTCTGATTGGCAGAAAACCCTTTTAGGCTGGGCTTTCCCAAGTAAAGCTTTTTCTTTTAGCTAAACAATAAGTGTTTCTTTCTCTGACTGTAAAATTCTAAAAGTATCTATATAGCTGATATGGTTTACAAGGTGCCATTGTTCTTCGTTTAGCCAGAGACATGCGCAGTTATAACTGGCCTACTAAGGCCATAAGCCTCAGCAAAAATAGCAAGTTAACATTTTGTTCTTTCAGCTTTTTACCTTCCCAGCATGCATCCAAACAACAGTCACAAATGAACCAAAGTTAGTACCCGAATACATTCATGATGTTAGAATCATAAATGGCACTTAACATATGCACCATGGAAGTGCTAAGTGCACCCACCAAGTCAAACCTGTTAGTTAGTGGCAGAGTATAAAGTGTTTCATAAACTGTGCGTACAACACCATCCAAGGACTAATCAGGGCCGACCTTGCTTAGCTTCCAAGATCGGGCTAGCTTGGGACAGCCAAGTTACAGTCCCTTAAAAATTAAAATTTTGAGAGTGCCCCATAGCCCAATTATTTTTTAAAGCCCAGATATTCAAGTACGAGACAGAAGACGTTATTTTAACCCCCAGCCTGCTGCTGAAGCACTTCAAGCCGGAAGGGACAAACACCTACAGTAAAGGAGGTAGGGTTGCCAGCCTCCAGGTGAGGCCTGGAGATCTTCTGTTTTTACAGCTGATCTCCAGCTGACAGAGGTCAGTTCCCCTGGAGAAAATGGCTGCTTTGAAGGGTGGACTCCATGGCATGGTACCCTGCTGAGGCCCCTCCCCAAACCCTGCCCTCTCCCGGATCCACCCCTAAAGTCTCCAGGTATTTTCCAACCCAGACCTGGCAACCCTTTTGTGGTGTCATAGTGAAGGCTTGTTGGTGATAGGGTGAGGAGACAACCCCCAGTGTGGCTTCAGAGGGCCTGTGGGGCAGCTGCTGAAGGCGACCAGTAACAGAGTCTCTTCCTCCCAGCGAGGTTTAACTCAGAGACAAATGGTGTAGACTACTGCATCCATATGTGGGAAGAGATAGTTAGTGCAGCAGAAGAAAAAGCTGTCAAACACTGGCAGCAGAAGAAAAGGATGAGTGCATTAAAATCAAGTCGACTTAAGGCTCCCACCAAGATCAGCAAACCTGGAATTGCATTACCGAGGCCCCGGTCAGATGTGCCGGAAAACACGCGTGCGGGGGGGGGGGGGGGGCGGGAGTGCACCCACCAAGTCAAACCTGTTAGTGGCAGAGTATAAAGTGTTTCATAAACTGTGCGTACAAGATCGGGCTAGCTTGGGACAGCCAAGTTACGGTCCCTTAAACATTAAAATTTTGAGAGTGCCCCATAGCCCAATTATTTTTTAAAGCCCAGATATTCAAGTACGAGACAGAAGACGTTATTTTAACCCCCAGCCTGCTGCTGAAGCACTTCAAGCCGGAAGGGACAAACACCTACAGTAAAGGAGGTAGGGTTGCCAGCCTCCAGGTGAGGCCTGGAGATCTTCTGTTTTTACAGCTGATCTCCAGCTGACAGAAATCAGCTCCCTTGGAGAAAATGGCAACTTTGAAGGGTGGACTCCATGGCATGGTACCCTGCTGAGGCCCCTCCCCAAACCCCGCCCACTCCCTGATCCACCCCTAAAGTCTCCAGGTATTTTCCAACCCAGACCTGGCAACCCTTTTGTGGTGTCATAGTGAAGGCTTGTCGGTGATAGGGTGAGGAGACAACCCCCAGTGTGGCTTCAGAGGGGCTGTGGGGCAGCTGCTGAAGGCGATCAATAACAGAGTCTCTTCCTCCCAGCAAGGTTTAACTCAGAGGCAAATGGTGTAGAAGACCCTACTGCATCCATATGCGGGAAGAGATAGTGCAGCAGAAGAAAAAGCTGTCAAGCACTGACAGCAGAAGAAAAGGATGAGTGCATTAAAATCGAGTTGACTTAAGGCTCCCACCAAGATCAGCAAGCCTGGAACTACGTTACCGAGTACCAGAAAATGGGGGGGCAGCTATTTGCGCCGTTGCATTCTGATGCGCCATTATGCAATCAGACACGACGACGGCTTTCCCACGGCAAAGAGGACGATGGGGGAGAAAGTCACGCGCCAGCACAATCACGCCCAGGGAGTCCACATGCAGCCTGTGGCAAACCATTTGCCAGTAGGTCGTCCCAGGTACTTTTTAAATGCGCATCTTCGGCCGGACCCCACAGGTTCACCACGGGTGCGCTATGCCTCCCAGATGTTCCGGTGTGATCACGCCCGGAAAATCCGCAAGACTATCGTGCCTTCAGCGCAGCAAATGTTCCGTGTGAACGGGGCCATAAATCAACTTCGTCTGTTGCTGCTGTTTCAGCCCCAGCAGAAAAGGCAGCAGCCAGCGAGAAGATGTTTACCGCACCCACCTCAGAAGCGCAGGAACCCCCGGTTTTTCAAATTAGTAATCCTTCCAAAACGGCAACCAAATCTATATCCAATCTTTCTGAAGCTGGCTCAGTGAAGAAAGGAGAAAGGGAACTCAAAATTGGAGACCGGGTTCTGGTTGGCGGTACAAAAGCTGGAGTAGTGCACTTCTTGGGGGAGACTGACTTTGCTAAGGGAGAATGGTATGGAGTTGAATTAGATGAACCACTGGGGAAGAATGATGGAGCAGTCACTGGAACCAGGTACTTCCAGTGTCAACCGACATATGGCTTGTTTGTCCCCGTCCACAAAGTTACTAAGATCGGCTTCCCATCCACCACGCCGGCAAAAGCCAAGACGGCAGTCAGGAAAGTCATTGTGATGCCCTCGAGCCTGAAACGCAGCCCAAGTGGCTCCTCCCTCAGCTCCCTGAGTTGCATGGCTTCACCCATAAGCAGCAAGCCCAGCCGTACAGGACTATTGACAGATCTTCACAGTACGCAAGAAAGAATTCGGGCACCACTGCTCTGCAGGAGGCCCTGAAAGAGAAGCAGCAGCATACAGAGCAGCTCCTGGCTGAGAGGGATCTGGAAAGAGCCAAGGTTGCCAAGGCTATCAGTGACGCTGGGGAAGTAGAACAGCGCTGGCATTGGCACGAGATGGGCATGATCAGCGTATACTGGAAATGGAAGTGCAGATGGACCACTTGCGGGCCTTGGTTGAAGCTGCTGATAGAGAAGACAGAATTGCAGCCCTCAAGTTCCGAGTAGAAGAATCCATCACCAAAGGCGACTTAGAGGCCGTTAATCTGATCGAGCCTGAAAATAAGTTGGGTGGAGCAATTCAATTTGAAGACTCTTTGAAAAAGGAACTTCTGGAGCTGAAAGGAAAAAAATGTACTCAGTTTGCAGATGAAGCAAAAAAAGTCCACACAAATCTATGCAAGAAATCGTTTAAAAAACTAAATAAAAAACTAAATCAAATCAACAGCAATTTGCAGTCACGTCGCCTGAACGAGATCGACTAAGGACTAACCTGACACAAGAAATTGAAAGAGGGAACACAAAGAACAGCAACTGATTGAAGCCAAATAAAAACGTGAAAACAATATTGCAGAAATAATGACATCGTCGGGAGATAGTTCTTCGCAGTTAATGAAGATAATGAGATGCGATTAAAAGAAAAGTAATCCCTCCAAAAACAAAACGAAACACAAAGCCCTTTGCCTGGCCGTGCTGGCTTTCTACAAGAAAGGAGGGTAACGTGAAGGTGGTGCTTTGGGGCGGGAGAGACCATTCCGACCTGCAGCCCGAACTAGGCAGCCAGGTCGGACTGCTAGAGCCAAGGAACGGGCAGCTGGGGCGAGCGTTGCTAAGCAACGTCCGCCGTGTAGAGAACAGGGGAAGACAAAGCTCCGCTTCAGACGTCATCGGGCTCTTTTTTTCCCCTTCCTTGAGAGTTCGGGGGGAGGAAAGAATCGCCTCAGTCTAAACTTCCGGTCTTCGGTGAAAAATCTCTTCTCCGCGCGTTGCGTGGCGCCTCTATGGTCGAACCACGCTTCCAATACTTTGCATTGGGGAAACGGCGGGAAGAGCGAGCGGGTGCGCCGATAAGACCCGTTGTTCTCGTTGATTTCCCCGCCTCTA